AAGGTCTACTTTTCCAAACATCTACTGATCATTTAGAAAAACATCCTTAACCCTTCCTTTTTTTTTTACTTTCATTTGCTTTGCAAAATCATTAAGTTAATGGATCACTATAGGGTCAGGAACACAAACATGTATTCTTGAACCTATAGTGTTTAAACCATTATTTAGGTGGCTTATCCCCCCTTAGCCCTCCTATAAAAGTTTAAAACTCACCTTATTTCCAGTGCCGCGCGGGTCCACATGTGCTGACTCTGCCCCCTTGTGACATCATTAAAATGGCTGATTGTTAGCCAATCCAATGCTTTCCCATAGGAAAATCATTGGATTGGCTTAAAAAAACAGCATGGGGCAGGGCAAAATGCCATTTTGGACAATCAGGACCTCCTCATAGAGATGCATTGAATCAGCCATTTTAATTCAGGCAAACGCGTTCAGCGAACTCAAATTGGACACGCGACGGCACGAACACCGCTGAACTTTACCTTCTCTGAACTTCGACACTTTGACGGGAATTCTACCCCTTTGTAGAACTTCTACACCTTTGAAGTGGCACTTCAGATACAGCCGAATTGCCGAAGTAGACAAAGTGGCCACCATTCGACATACGAACACGTGGCGGCCACTTCGTCTACTTCGACAATTCGGCTGTATCCGAAGTGCCACTTCAAAGGTGTAGAACTGCTCCAATATAATTTAAAGAGGCAGTAACAGTACTTTAAAATCCCATATGCCCAAATAGAGCTTGTAAAGGACCACACATCCCAGGGGCCATAGTCACAGGGCAAGAGGCTGGCAAGCAGGCCCTTCCAAACACCAGTGACGAAGGTGCTTTCGTCACAGTGGCCATCTAAGGAGTGGCCATTTGGAGGTGTCCATAGAGGCAATGTAAACACTGTGTTTTCTCTGAATACAATAAGCTGTAGTTGTTCAGGTGACTACAGTGTCCCTTTAATAAAGCCTCACTTACCTTCATTTATACCAGCTTGAAGATACATGCATTTCTCTGCCCATTCTATAAATTAAATGTCCTAAAAATTACAGCCTTCCCTTCTTCCGAATAGTAAAGATTATACCATTCTTACATCTATGGAAGAGCTAGTAGTGGATGCTATCTCTCAAATGCATTTTTAGCATTATATCAGCATTACAGAGATTACTATAGGAAAAAAATTCCTTTCATTTTAGAAATATATGATTTAATCATACTTTCTTTATGTGGGAATCATGCTTGAATGCAAAGATTACTTTTACATTCTGTTGCCATTTTAGCAAACTATACTGCTAGCAATGCTATTACGTTTCTATTTTTATTGTATATATTTTTGTCACTCCTAATGGGAGAAACCATGTATTTATTGCTTTAATACAAAATGTTGCAGACCCTCTAAAATACTTGAAAAAAAAATACTCCAGGTACAGAAAGTATATACTGTATAAACCATTTCATTCCAAGTCTTTTTTTTTTTTTTTTTTTTTACAAAGCATAAAAATGAAAAATAAAAATGGTGTAAATTTGCATTATTTAAATTATGTTTGTCTGAACAGCAATCTAAACATAAAACTGCCGTTTTATTATAGGTTTATGTGTTAACAATGCATCCCATATTTCAAAAATGGTATGTTAATATTTTTCTAAACCTAAATAGCTTGGCAATGAATGGGTTAATGTGTTTTCTTTTCTTTAATTTATTTAAACAGTATTTTAAAAAAAAATTTGCGACAGAACTATAAAATGCTGAATCTTACTTTTTAAAATGTATTATTTTTAACCTTAGCTTCTGGGACAAATTATCTTTTGTGTGACCCAACCAGGATTATTTTATACAGAGTCAATTGAAAAGTTCATTTCACCACATCCAATGCATTTAACGGTGCACAGGCAAACCAGGCAGAAAGACAAACATTAAAGTTGAATGTAAGGGATGCGTGTAGGATTAAAAGAGTGCTATGATTGTGCTAAATCGTGTGTGCCTGTGACACCCATGACCTTCAAGTTAACCGTCAGGCACTGAACTTCTGCTGAGATCAGCTCTTGGATTGGAGAGAATAAAATCACATTTTGTGATTTTATTTTTTTCTATTATATACAGGTAATTACTTCACCAAAGAAGAACAAGTAAAGAATAAATTGATAGCCCTTAGAAAAAAAGACAAGCGTTCAGCTACCGGAAAGTGAACACTGGAGTTAGTTCCTTTATGGTTTTTTTTTTCTATTTCCTACTTTACAACTCGTGGCTTATAGCAGTCAAACGTCTTAGAATCATGTAACTCTGATTCAGAATGGAGGATTATGGGATCTCAAGTAAACCACTGCAATACCATGAAATGTAAAAAAAAGAAGATTGACACTAGTGGACATATAGCAATAAAAATAGAGATGGATTCAACATATTAAAATGGTAATCATCACAAATCCAACAGAGAATTATTTTCTTATTTCTCATTGTTTGGACAAGGAAAGAATACAGCCTCACTCAATCTTGTCAGTGAAGTTGGACTGTCAAGAGTATATCTACAACCGCTATTACAGAAAGCCTGATGAGCCTGATCAGAAGAAAACTTACAAGTGAAACTGAACTGCAAAAATAGGCAAACGGGGTTCCCCAAATCATAAATAACATTGCATATAATTGAGTCCCATGCCTAATTTGTAAGATAGTCATAAATGCCAAGGCTTTATAAAGGTCAGATTTAAAAAAATATATATATATCAGGCAGCTTAGCCCTGTTTGCCTGTAGAAAGAGGAAATGCTTTTATAATGACATTTGTCGCATGGCACCTGTGTTAAAATGATTATTATTTATAAAGTGCCAATAAATTCTGCAGCGCTATACAATAGGTGGACTAAAAGACAAGTATTTGCAACAAGACAAGTTGGATGCACGGGAACATAGGGTTTTGAGTGTCCTGCTCAAGCAAGCTTACATTCATCCCAACCATACACAGACAATTTCCTGTAGCTCATTTCCTCAGAATCTGGCCATGAGAAACCGCTATTACTTGAATACGCAGTGCATTAAAACCTCTGGGTTAGGATATTTGTCAGAGTACTTTTCCCATTGTACCAACCAGCTTATAACCTTTGGCAAATATTTGTATGACAATCAAAGTAAAAGAATACTAAAAGCTTTTTTTAAAGAAACACTTTAGGCACTCAGAACACTTTAGCTTATTGATGTGGTCTGGGTGCAGTGTGCCTTTTGCACTCAGTGCTGCAATGTAAAACAGATAGTGTTCTAACAGACAGCCAAACAGATCTTTGGTCGGTTATCTGATGCTGGACGTCCTTATGGACCTCTAGCATCAGATTTTCCCCATAGGAAAGCATTGGGGAGGTCTAATGCATGCGCGCAGCCATTGTAATATTGTTAAGCACTACGGAATATCATCAGCATATAAGGATATTTTAATATCCTGTTCTTTAGTAGCAAAACATTTTATCTCTTTGTGTTCTCTAATCTTGATAGCCAATGGTACGACTGTTAAAATATATAGTAATGTGGACGGGGGGCAATCCTGCCTTGTACCTTTTTGTAAGTCAAACCATCCTGCACATGTATTCGCACCTATGGTTCTGGCTGAGGGATTAAAATATAGTGCCATTATAGCACCATGAATTCATCCCACCAGGCCAAAGGATCTTAAAGGACCACTATAAGCATCCAGACCACTTCAGCTTAATGAATTGGTCTGGGTGCCAGGTCCAGCTAGGGTTAACCCTTTTTTTTTTTTATAAACATAGCAGTTTCAGAGAAACTGCTATGTTTATAATATGGTTAATCCAGCCTCTTGTGGCTGTCTCTTGACAGCCGCTAGTGGCGCTTGCGTGCTTCTCACTGTGATTTTCACAGTGAGAAGACACAAGCGTCCATAGGAAAGCATTGTAAATGCTTTCCTATGAACTGGCTGAATGTGCGCGCGTGTTCAGCCGATGACGTCGCTATGGAGGAGGAGAGTTCCTCACCTGGCGCTGGAGAAAGGTAAGATTTTAACCCCTTCCTCTCCCCAGAGCCCAGCGGGAGAACCAAGTATGTTTTCCTGGCACTATAGTGGTCCTTTAACACATTATCGAGATAGCTCCAACTGACCCTGTCAAAGGCCTTCTCGGCATACAATGACATGACCAGAAGGGGCCGTCCACTTCTGCTCATTTGATTGATTATATCTATAATTTTTCTTGTGGATTTGCTGGCAGATCTACCCGGGATAAATCCTATCTGATCCAAGTTTATGATTTTTTTCTATTGTAGTCTTTAATCATGTTGTGATATGGGTCGATAATTTCACACATCTGTTGGATTCTTATTTGTTTTTAATATCGGGAATATTAACCTGTAGTAACTCTTTAGGTATATTTCATTATATAAGTTGGTCAAAGGTAGGATAATTAATCAAATTCAAGGCAATGCACAGGTTTTGCTTGCTGTTAACCACAAGCTTCTGCTTTTGTCTCTTGCACTTCAATCCTAACACTGCATTACTACTCTTGAACTCATTCTATTCTACCCTGTTCAGCAACTGTCAGTATTTATGTCATGAATCATCCTCTACCTCCCCTCCTCACTGACATATTTTGTATAAGCCTGACTATTCTATAAAAACTGTGCAGTCTTACTCTGTGCCACACTGCTGTCTAAACTATAATGCCTGTATTTGCCGTTTCCAGTAGAGATAAGAGCATGGCTTCAATATGGGAAACACTTTTTGTCTCCAGGTCTAGATGGCCAGCTTGGAGGACTCCAGGGCTAGTATCAAAGGAGGGCTGAGGTGATGTGGAATCCAGATTAGTTGAACTTCTGTATAGGTAGTTAAATATGCCTGCTCTAGTTGATGCCAGACAGTTTTTGCGTGGAGTGTAATCACAGTTTGAGATAGTATGGATGCTGCATAGTAGTTTGAAATATCAGGGGCACCTAAGCCTTCATGGTTTGGTAGTCTGCAAAAGGTGCCTAATATTATTCTAGGCAGATAATTGGTTTTATATATATATATCTACCCCCTCACACTAATTATTGGTGAGGGTGGCCAATACAAATATATATATATATATATATATATATATATACATACACACACACACACACACACACACACACACATTTGTATTGGCCGCCCTCACCAATAATTAGCGTGAGAGTGTAGATAGGGACATAGTTAGGGAAGGAGCGATGAGCTTGGGAGCATTAGCCATCAATTTACAGTATGTAATCAGCTAACCCTGTAAGGGATTATCTTGTAGGGCCCAGAAGATTTCTTTTCGGCCCTTTAACCCCTTAAGGACACATGGCATGTGTGACATGTCATGATTCCCTTTTATTCCAGAAGTTTGGTCCTTAAGGGGTTAAGGCCCTTGTATACAATTCCCAAGAGGTGTTAATAGATGAAAGTAATATCATTAAGCAATTATATTTTAAATGAGCTTGGCAGTATATGGGGATTTTTAAAGCCCTTTAAACAGACATTTTAGTTATTGTGCACTTGTGTGTTTATTTTGTGTCAACTTGATATATTATATTTTAGTTACAATGCTTATTTGCCCTTTAATTAGTGTAGTTGATTAACAAAGAATTGTAACTTGAATTTGATTGGACATGTCTTCCTGTCAGGGGAACATGTAGTGGTGTTTGTTCTGTTCAGGCCCAACCGCTTTTGAGGTGTTGGATTATTAGTTCCGCTGGAGTGTCTATAACTTCTCTACGACAGAATTATGATTGCCATACCACCAGTGCTTAATATAAAATATAAGGCTTTAAATTCCCCAATTATATCATATAATATCAAACATTTCAGGCTGTAGCTATGGTTGTATGTTTTGAATACACATTGTTTCATATTTTACCCACAACCTTTTTATAAATCATATGATGAAAGTGCAATGTGCCCTGTTAAATAATTTTCCTACAAGACCCTCTAGGCTTTCTGGAAGCTCTCTGTGTGTCTATCTTACAGTGGCCTACAAGTTTCATTGCCAAGGGAAGCTACCACATTGTCACAGGGATACATCACAATCACATTTTCTGGTAAGGCCTTCCACCGATTATTTTGCATAATGTTTTTTGTCTTCTCCAGCTTTGAACTGGATTAATAAACTTGCATTAGCTTTTAAGTAATTGTCTGCTTTCCAAAAAAAGTTAACCCTGCCCTCTGAGCAACTCTGTGCCTGTTTATTTAAGCTCCCTTGAAAAACATTCATATCATTCCAGGGCTGACTACATGTTTTTCATACTCATACTTCACATAGTTCTTAGTTTATCTGTTCATTAAGCTCAATGCAAGAAAAAGAGAAAAAAAGAAAATGTAATTCTCACATTGTTTATTAACCTTCACAATGCTGCCCATGATTTAAGGGCATAGGACTTGAGATATTGCTAGGCCATATACTGGTTAATGAAGGATCTAGAGAATGATGATCCAGCCAATAAGCTCATGTACAGAGAACAGCAAAAGTGCTTGCGTATGATGCTGGGAGTTTTGCACTGCTGTGAGCTCTTATTTCTCTCTGATATATACATTAGCAGTAATCAGGATTTGCATCTTGGTTACATATCATTTGACATCATATTTGAAAAACCACCAAATATTCCACAGTCTAAACAAATCAGGATATATGTAAATGGTACGTATAGAAAGTACAGCTAGTCAGTGGTGTATCCTGGTTTTGTGCTCCCTAGGCAGGACAAAGCTCAGCCCCCCACACACTCACATTAACACACACACTTTTTTTTTTATCTAACCCCCCCAGCCTCCTTACATTTGGGAATGCTGGGGGACGGGGGGGTTCTAGTGGGCTGGCGGCACTGGCGAGGAAGCACTTTCCCCTGAGCACTCTGCTCAGCTCCCTCGCGCACCACAGAGTTATGCCGGGAGCCGGAATATGACGTCATATTCCTGCTCCCGGCAGGACTCTGCGGCACGCGAGGGAGCTGAGCAGAGCGCTCAGGGGAAAGTGCTCCCTCGCCAGCGCCGCCCGCCTGCCTGGACGTTTTAGCTCCAAGGCTAACAAGACACTTGCCCTGGGCATTTGGGAACAGCTTTTTTTGCCGCCCCCTGGAAAATGCCGCCCAAGGCAAATGCCTTGTTTGCCTCGCGGTTAAAACGTCCCTGCAGCCAGTTATGGTATAACTTTGGACTAGCCTATTTCCTAACTTTAATGCCGAATAAATGAAAGGGTTACTTACTGCTCAGGTTATCTAGCAATAGAGAGTTAGGGTTATGTAAAAGCTTTTGGATGAAAATATCAGGATAAAACGACTGATCTAAATGAAGATCAGTAAAACGTTTCTTAAGTAAAATGGAATGTGGCGTACAGATGTCACATGATATTCCCTCATGTTAGAGATATTAGGAACTAAATCTGCTTAAAAATGCACTGGCACTTCTATTTTCTGCACTACTATAGTTAATAATTAACTATTTGCTGTGCTGCTTTTTTTTTTTTTTAAATACAAAACTAACATTATACAATAAACCAATTCATACGTCAACAGTCCCCAACAATCCCAGGTACATTTTAACAGTCCCATAGTTTGGCTTCACTTTCCACAATTTCTTTACCGCAGTCCCAGTTTTGTGGACACCAGAGAAACTGTGCTTAGCACAATTTATATCACCAAACTTTTGGAAGTATGCAATTGGGACCGGATGGACAGACCATGACATTGACACAATTTACATTGTTAATGATGTCCAAAATAAGCCCACCTAGAACTGTGGTAGGCCCACCCACAGAAGCGTTGTGTTTGATTGACAGCCTTCTGACTGACCCCACTTGGTGTAGACCAGTCAAAAAGTGCTGCAGATGTGTGCTCTGCATAGTCATACTGCTCTCAGCACAGCACTAGCATCAGGGTACAAAATTGGGATGGCGAACAAAATTGGGATGGCAAACAGGACCACCAAAATGGCTCTGTCCTGCCTAAATCAGTTTGGAGGCTTGCACAAGCACATCATGGGACATTTTTGTGTGGCACAAAACAAAATCAGAGCATTCTATGAGTATGCTTCAATAGTACTTAGCACAAAGAAAGTCAGGGGGACGACAAGATTGGTTACCAGTTAGCCTGATAAATAAATATGCCAGGTTAACATGCACATCTTTTTTAGCCCACTTCCTTTACAGTGTCCCCACTGCATTAACAGTAATGGGCATAGCATCGCCATCATACCACGTGATAAAACAACATTAGTGTTATGACATTTGATAGGAATAATATATAATGTATATATTACACACAAAAAAACAACTTGTTAATGTAAGTATATTCTAAGCCTTATCTGTCTTTGTACCAAGTTAAATTTTACTTACTGTGAAGCAACAAAAATTATAAATAAATACATGTATATGTAAGTGAACTAAATAGACTGACATTTTTTGACTACTATATATGGTTTTAATCGCTTTTTAAATTGTGGCACATTACATTTGCATATTTTTACCCTTAAGTATTCTGCTGTAGATTTGCTAATCTGTGTTGACTATTGTTACTAAATGTCCATTTCCAGCAGCTTAAGTGAAAAGCATTGTACCTTTATGTAAATAACACAAATCATTGGATCCTTAGTTCATAATTGTGTAACAACAGGATGTAAAATAAATACAAATAAACCATGTGCAATCAAATCAATATTGTGATATGGAAACATTAAAGAAACAAAAGGCTTTTTTTTCCTCACCAACATGTGAAATCAACCACCAGCACTGCGCATGTCAAGATTAAAGACATTTAATAACCCCTCCCACCTCGTCACTGAACATTTAATGGTCACTGACCTAGCTTACCATTTTATCATAAATCCATGTTTGGATTACTTTCTGTAATTTAACATGTATACGTTTACCAGGCTACTAAGAGTATGCTCAAATGATACACCTCAGATCGAGTCAACCTCGTTGCTACAGAAGAGCAAGGAATCTGCATCCTAATTAAATATGGATTGACTACAATAATGGTCAACCTTAGGTATATTAGCTGCAGACTATAGACTATGAATTCCACGATTATATCCAAGCAGAACAGCTTGCTTGCTGGTGATTATAGAGATTAGCCATTCATGGTATATTCTTTATTAAAGGAGACCTCTCATAAGCTCTTACTTGAAATAAATTTTATATATACTTACACACACACACACACACACACACAGATATATACATACACACACAGAGATACTAAATAGCCACAACTTTAAAACCACTGACAGGTGAAATGAGTAGCATTGATAATGTTGTGTTACAATGGCACCTGTCAAGGGGTGGGATGCATTAGGCAACTGGACAGTCAGTGTAGGAAGCAGAAAAATAGGCAAATTAAAAGATCTGAGTGACTCTGACAAGGGCAAATATTTATGGCTAAATGACTGGATCAGAACATTTCCAAAATTGCAAGGTATTCCCAGACTGGTCAGACTGGCTAGTATTGCCCTTCAATTGAGACAATTTAATTAAATGGAGCAATGGAAGAAGGTTGCCTGGTCGGACAAATCATTGTGTTCTTTTAGATCAGGTGGATGGCCACCTTGGATTCTGGCATTCATGTAGATGTTACTTTTGACACATACCACCTACCTAGAGATTGTTGCAGACCACATACACACCTTCATGGCAATGGTGTTCCCTGATGGTAGTGGCCTCTTTCATCGGGGTAATGCACCCTAACACAACTACTGGTTTGAGGATCAGGACAAAATGTTCAAGGTGTTGCCTTGGCTTCCAAATCCCCCAGATGTTAATCCAATTGAGCATTTGTTGGATGTGCTGGAACAACAAATCCAATCCATTGAGACCTCTCCTATCAAATTGTAGGGCTTAAATGATCTGCAGAGGTCTTGTTTTGGCTGCACAAGGTAGACCTACTTGATATTAGGTGGTTTGAATGTTATGGCTGATCACTATATGTGTATATATATATATATATATATATATATATATATATATATATATATATATATATATTTATATTTATTTTGTATCAACTTCACAAAGATCCATTTTTTCATGTGCGTATTTGGCACAATGGATACCCCTGGGCATTATACTCTAAAACCGGTTGATCTTTGGAGTTTTTATGTAAATATATGAGAAAATTTAAATGTAACATTACTGATTACTCAATGAGCATAACTAATACATTTGTGC